TGTCTTGGCAAATGCCACGGTGATGGATCTTCGCCGGTGCTTCTGGTAAGGTTGTTGTCTTGGCAAATGCCGCGGTAATGGTTCGTCGCCGGTGCTTCTGGTAAGGTTTTGTCTTTGCAAATGCCGCGGTGATGGCTCCTCGCCGGTTCTTCTGCTGAGGCTGTTGTCTTCTTCGCGGGTGCTTCTGGTAAGGTTTTTGTCTTGGCAAATGCCGCGGTGATGACAACAACCTTACCAGAAGCACCGGCAAAGAGTCACCACCACTTCAATTGCCAAGACAAAAACTTTATCAGAAGCACCGGCGAAGAAATCACCGCGGCATTTGCCAAAACAAAAACGTTACCAGAAGCACCGGCGAAGAGCCACCACCGCGGCATTTGCCCACAAAAACCTTTGCACCGGCAAAGAGTCACCACCGCGGCACCTGCCAAAGAAAAAAGAAAATACTTTATCGGAAGCACCGACAGCCAGCCACCACCACCGCGTCCTTGACCAAAACAAAAACATTATCAGAAGCACTCGCGAAGATCCATCACCGCGGGCATGTGACAACAGAAAACCCGGCGAAGAGCCATCACCACGGCATTTGCCAAGACAACAACCTTAGCAGAAGCACCGGCGAAGAGCCTTCACTGCGGCATTTGCCAAGACAACAACCTTACCAGAAACACCGGCGAAGAGCCATCACTGGTGAGGTTTTTGCCCTTGCAAATGCCGCGGTGATGGCTCTTCGTGCTTCTGGTAACGTTTTTGTCTTGGCAAAAGCCACGGTGATGGCTTTTTACAGGTGCTTCTGAGAATGCTTTGGTTTTTTGATGTTGGCAAATGAATATGCCTTTCCTTCTATTTTTTTCGATTATGGCTTTGCCCCGGTTCCTCTGGTAGAGTTTTTGTCTTGGCAAATGTCGTGGTGATGGTTCACCACCGTGGCATTTGCCAAGACCTGGTAGGAGCACCCGAGCCATCATCAAGGCATATGCCAAGCCAAAAGTTTACCAGAAGCACCGGCGAAAAGCCATCACCACGGCATTTGCCAAAACAACAACATTACCAGAAGCACCGGCGAAGAGCCATCACCGCCACATCTGCCAAGACACAAACCTTACTAGAAGGGTGGGGCCGGACTGGCCTGGGCTGGCTGGACGAGGCTGGGCTAGGTGCTGGAGCTGGGCTGGGCTGCTGGAGCAATGGTAGTCATCAGATCTGTGTCCTGACAACGTCAAAATGACAGAACATATGCAGCGACAAAAACCGAAATGATTCGAAGCTTTCGAAGGCTTTGAGAAGAAGGACGAAGGCTTGGAAGGGGGGGAAGGCTTGGAAGCCCTTTACCTTCGCAAGCTGAAGGGGGGCTTCGGACCCTTCACCTGAAGGGGCTTCGAAGCCCCCTTCAACCTTCGACCATCGAAGGGGCCCCAAACTGGCGGCCGCTTGAAGCTCCCACCTGATGGCAGACAATCTCGTTCGCGAAGTACAACGCCCAGGACCACCCCATCGGCACCCCTTTAAAGGCACAGAAGACCTTCTCGCCGGGCTGCAAGGGAATCTCCTTCTGATAGTCGTCGTCGTAGACCGCGCCCACGTCGATGTCCAGCTCCTCCTTCAGCTCTTCTCGTGTAAAGGCGTCCTCCGTGCAAAACCACGCGGTGAGCTCTGGGATGGCAAAGTTATAGAAACAATCTCCCACGTCACCGCTTTCCGAAGTGATAGTGGGTCCATCGTCGCCAAGGATGCCGCCAAAGCCGTCGGCCTCGAGTGACTGAGCCGTGAGGTCCAAAGCGGTCAAACTTGCGGGTGTGGAAAACCGAGTCGAAGGCAGTGCTCTATGACAGGCGTTTGCCTGCCTAAGCCTCTGGGCCCCATCCTTTTTGCGCACCGTGAAAATCCCCACCCGAGCCTTGCGTCGTCGTCTGAAGTCCAAGAGGTTGGCCGCGTGGAGGGCCTTGTAGAGTTCGAGCCGTCGCCGCCGTGACCTTCGCGAGCTAGGATCCCAGTACGGTTCCACTAGGGTACCGCACCGCCTCCGGAGTCTTGGCGTCCTTCGGGACCAGGCGCCGCTTCAGAATTTTGATCTTGCTCAGGTCGATGCCGACCAGGTGTTTGGCTTCCTGGTTGTACAGGTCGGAGCGTCGCCCAAGGTCGCCCATGACGGTGTCCTCGGTGATGTCCTCGGGGCACTCGCCATAGAGGGCTACCCGCCGATGAAGATCGTCCATGATCCATTGCTGTACCTGAGTCAAAGGCAATTTCCGAGAGGCTGGGCCGGCAACAAAAGGGACTGCGGCGAGGTGGTTCAAAGTCCGAGCCGAAGCATCGACTCGCCGTTGCAGTCGTTCAAAAGGAGAAAAAGGATAGCTTCGCCCACCATTGGAAAGTCGCGGCAGAGGAAAAGGATCCCCGTGTCGCCGATGGACCGAAGTCTGTCCCAGAATGAATTCGCTTGCAGAAAACGAGGTAGTCATGGTGGTCCCGGGGC